GAGAGAAGGAGAGGGGAGGAGAGAGAAGGCAGAGGAGGAGAGAAGAGCAAGGAGGAGAGAGGAGGAGAGAGAAGGAGAGGGGAGGCAGAGGAGGAGAGAGGAGGACGAATCCCTTTATTAAACATTGAAGCCAGAACAGAAATTCAACTCACTGACGTCATCACAAGAATAAAAAAACAAAAAACAAAAAACAAGACGAACACACACACACACCACACACACACACACACACACACACACACACAACACACACACACACACACACACACACACACACACACACAGCGACCGAAAGCCTGGATATTGTCCATCATCACATAATTTGCATGCTCCACCCTCAGTCGGGTATTGAGCAGCCCCTCCAGGACCGGCACTCTCAGCCCGGTTTCTACGAGTCAGCCAGATGGTCATCTTTGCAGAACCAGATGAAAAGTTCACCAAAGTGTGCACAAACATCTTCACTGTATTTTGGGGCCAAATATAAACAAACTAAAAGAAAAAGTCTCCCCAGCAAAAGTGCTGACAGACAAGGACACTGAACAAGTAAGTGTACCAGGGTCACTTCTCCCCCAGCTCTAGGTCCAGGTGTGCTCTGGATCGGTTTGTAGCCATTGGCCCGTGTCCAACTCTCCACTGGAGGTCTGCTGTCCACTTTTCAATCGGCAGCTTGTCCAGGGTCCGCCAGCTGCCTTTGGGGAAGCATCTGGACCAAAGAAGTCAGTCCACCTGGACTCCTTCAACCCTGCCAAAGAGCGCAGGTTCAGAACCTTAACGCACATTTGGTAGACTGCTTTTCTTCCCACAGCTTGAATCTTGTCCAGGTGGGGGGTTGTGAAGGACAGCAGCTGAGCTCCTTCCTGCCACTGATCAACAGGGAAGGGAAGCTGTACTCACACACTCTACTGGTCACACAGCGCACGAATCTCCGTGAAAGTTCTTAGGGACTGTGGCAGGGCAGCACAGACCTCCACAAGATCCAGGATAGATGTGATGCTGCTGCTGTCCCTCAGGGCCTCCACAGCTGTTACCGTCCTCCTCATCAGATGGCCCAGGTTTGTGCAGCCTCCCTCTCAGGCTGGCAGACTGCAGCATTTGTTTATGAAGCTGTTAAAAAACAAAGGTTCCTCAAACACCCACATGCCAGGAATCTCATTTGTAGCCCGTGTGAACTTAAAAATCTGCCATGCCTGCAGCACAGAGCTGGAAAATGCCCAGTAAGGTCCACATACTGGGATTGTAAGAGGAAAAGATGTTTATCCCAACCGCCCGGTCCTCCTCAGCAGCAGATGAGCTGTCTCAATCCAACCTGTGCCCCAGCTGTACAGAAGCCTTTGCACAGTCTGGAGTCTAAATTAGGTGATTTTTGACTGGATGTTGATCAGTCCCTGCCCCACTTCAGCCAAAGGCAGGTAAAGGACTCCTGGCTGGACCCGGTGCTTACCAGACCAGAAAAAGTCCAACATGGTTCTCTGCACGTCCTCATTCAGGCCTCCTGGTGCACCAGAGCGAAGAGTCTGTGCAAGAGAGCCAAGGCAACCAAGTTACTAACAACCAGTACTCCCCTACATGAGAACTGGGGTAGCAACAATTTCCATTTAGACAACCGAGCAGTCCTTAACTCCCTCACAGTTCTTAGTTTGAAAGCCCTCCGTGCCCCAAAAAACACTTTCAGCCCCTCTTTTCCCCACTCAAGACCCCCGAGGCAGACTGGGCACCACCAGTTGGATTGGAATGTCTTTGCAGCCTCTCTCTGTAAAATCCAGGTGAAAACAATCAGGTGAGTCCTGAACCATCCCTTAGTTATGCTGCTATAGGCCTAGACTGCCGGGGGATTTCCCAAGATGCACTGAGCTCCTCTCTCCTCTACTTTCTCTCCCTCTGTATGCAACCTCATCCCATTATTGCATGTTACTAACACAACTTCTCCCCTTTCTGGTAGTCTTGTGCTTTCTCGTCTCTCCTCTCTCCTCCTATCACTTCCTGCAGGTTTTCTGGCTCTGGAGCTGTGGAGTCTGGATCTGCATGGGGTCTGGGTCTGGATCTGTGCTTGCAAGCTTCCTGCTGCCCTGCTGGGTCTCAGTTCTCACACAGAGTCCGGTCTGGATCCATGTGAACAATTATTTCCAGGATGTCCTTAAGTCTGCTCGATAAGGCCCTGGTAAGCACCTTATAGTCTGTAAGAGGAGGGCCACCAGGCAGGGAAGCTCCACGCAGGTCATCTGCTTCCTCTGCGCCACAGAACTTTCCAGGTTAAAGAAGAAAGAGCTTGGCGCATCCATGTCCTTTAGCCGGAGGAAACGAGACCTGACCAGAGCTCCCTTCACTCTCTCTTGCAGTAAGGAGCTCAACTCCAACAATTTTTTTCAAAGGAGTTGACACACAGTTGGATCGGAATGTCTTTGCAGCCTTCTTAATGTTGGCTTCAAGCTCCTGAACTGCTGACAAAGTGATGGTCAGTGAACCCAACTGGACATATGTTACTGTGCACTAATCTGGAGCTGAGACTCTTGGAAACAAAGATCCTGTCCAGTCTAACTGCACTCACCCTGTTGTTGCTGACCCTCACCCATGTGTATTGTCTGCACTTTTTAGCAGTTTTTCATTTAGTAGCTTTTCTCAGAGTTGTTCCATGCTTTTTTAGGCAGAAGCATTTCTTTTCATCTAAGAGGTCAAAGCCTACCAGCTTTGTCAGGACAACTAATCTGATGAACTTGTCCTTGTCTTTGTAGTCTTTTACCCTTATAGCTAGAAACTGATTTATTTCCTCTAAAGAACAGAGATTAATGCTTCTGTTTCACCAATAGATACTGTACCTGACTCATTCATGTCTTCTCCCTGACATGATACCAGACTGTTGACTCCACCATGTCCTACATTGTGTTCTTCAGTGTGTTCTTCATTGTGCTCCCTGCCTCTAACACTTGTTGAAGCTGCTTCCTGAACATTTTCTCCATGCTATGAGTCTCTTGTATCTGCAGACTGAGAACTACTCAGGTTCTCTGCAGCCACAGAAGTCTGTTGGATCTCAGGTTGGCTATCTCTGTCGTGAGAATAACAATAGAGATAGATAGAACTGTGGGCCGGGCAGGACCAGCATCCTCCGCCCCATCGTGAGCGGAGCATCAGTGCCGTGAGTCGCCACCTGCTGCTTGTGTGTACACGCAAAACTTTTGTCTCCCACATCGCCACACTCAAAACATTTCAGCTGTCCTGAGCAAGCGTACACTTTGTAAGAGCCATCACCGTGCTTCACTCTGAACGACACCTCAAGTGTTTGTGCGGGTGAATCTAAAAACACGAACACCTGCCGCCTCAGAGACTGCTTCAGTTTAGGATCCCTACATCCCAAACTAACTGCTTTAAAACAAACCTATGGAGCTCGCTTTCCGACAGCTCGTTGGGTATGAACGGTGGAACATGGTGGTCTGAGTGGAGGCGGGGAGACCTGCACAAAAGTGTCTCTGATAAACAGCCGATACACAAGAGGCTCATCTTTAAAACCACCACCACTGCTTTGATGCAAAAGAAAGGCTGTCATGCCCTACCTGCTCACCCACAGCCAGCTACTATCCTCCGCGACTATCCTAACTCCCTGCCGGATAGACAGAGGTGGTGTCTCCTCCTGGAACTACCTGACAAATCAAGTGATTACTCAGCCAACACTTAAAGAAAAATAGTAAAGAAAGCTTACCTGATCATGCACCTAGGACAGAACATACACAGGGGAAACCGAAAACCAGAACAGAAACAGTTCAAAACTCTGCACCATTCACACGTCCACCACCGCCTCTCACATTCACCGGAAACGGAAACAAGAGGAGAGGAGAAGAAAGATTCACAACATTTTATCTGTCCAGCACTAACATACACAGAGCAAAATCCCTTTCCAAATCTTAAATGAAAGTTTGTGTAGGATGGTTCAAAAACATATAAGCCTGTCTGCGGAGGGACTGCAGAAACACGACAGCCTTGTTCATACGAGCGCAGTTTCTTATGTTCCCATAACCAACTTGTTCTCCGACACTTCACAAAACCTCCTCCACAGTAAAACAACGATCAGCTACAATCCTCGCTCCGTGTCTGATATTTTCGGCGTCTGCCACAGTGTCGGCCGTCACATCCACAACCAGTCAGCAATCACCGCTTTTTGTCATCAAAAACATGAAGAAGAAAACAGAGAAAATAAAGTGGATAACTCTAAACTCATTCACCACCACTCGCTTACACCGTCAAACTCCCAGCATGCAGAGCAGGAGAGGGGAGGAGAGGGGAGAGGGGAGAGGAGGAGAGGAGAGGAAGAGGAGGAACATGCAGTCCTCCTGCTGGGTTCTGGTTCTGCTTTAGGAGAAGTTCCCTCTCAGCTGCTGACACATTCTGGAATTAAAAATTCTGAGGAAAACAATCTGGTTCCAAATGGTTTTGGCTGCCCCCCCCCCTTCCGGGCTGGACTTTGGTTCAGCGTGGAACCTCTCGTAAAGCTCCGGTTTCTTTTTCATCATCACCTTTCAGCTCGTCCTCGTAAACTTTGACCCCGTGGAGAGAGAGGTCAACAGGAAGTGTGGTGTTAGCAGACAAAACCCTGGTTTCCCCTGTCACTCGGTCCCGCTCTACTTTAATCTGCACCGAGTACATCGCTGGGGGGTTAGAGGTCAGATGGGGGGTTAACAAGACACACACAGCTGCTGATTTAAAGCAAAGTAATCTGACCTGAACCCTAGCTCTCACACAGACAGACAGACAGACAGAGAGGTTAATTTTTACACTTTAAGGACACGTTAACATGACCTCTTCCTGTCTACATGCTGTGACCTCTGAACTCCTTGCTGCTGTTCTCTGCAGATCTTTGGTTTAGACCCTGACCTGAACGGGTCTCTGAAGAGTTTACAGTCACGAGTGAGGGACAGTACCGATTTAAAGACGGACTGCAGACAGAGTCGGTCCTGACGGACTGACTCGTTTTAGCGTCTCAGTGTTCAGAGGACTGTGAAGCTGACATGTGATTGGCCGAGAGTTAGAGGAGTATTACTTGTTGTCAGTTAGGGGAGGGGTAGTAGGTCAGGACATGTCCACATCAAACAGACTTCAAGGTCTGCCTTTTTCACCTACATAACAAACATCAGGAACATCCTGTCTAATGAAAAACTAGTCCAGAATTTGTTCCGGCTAAGCTGGATTACTGCAGTTCTTATTACCTCGCTGAATAACTCCATTAAGACTCTCCAGCTGATCCAGGATCAGAACTGACAGGACCAGAGATCATATTTCTCCTGTTTTAGCTTCTCTGCACTGGCTCTCTGTAAAATCCAGGTGAAAACAATCAGGTGAGTCCTGAACCATCCCTTAGTTATGCTGCTATAGGCCTAGACTGCCGGGGGATTTCCCAAGATGCACTGAGCTCCTCTCTCCTCTACTTTCTCTCCCTCTGTATGCAACCTCATCCCATTATTGCATGTTACTAACACAACTTCTCCCCTTTCTGGTAGTCTTGTGCTTTCTCGTCTCTCTCCTCTCTCCTCCTATCACTTCCTGCAGGTTTTCTGGCTCTGGAGCTGTGGAGTCTGGATCTGCATGGGGTCTGGGTCTGGATCTGTGCTTGCAAGCTTCCTGCTGCCCTGCTGGGTCTCAGTTCTCACACAGAGTCCGGTCTGGATCTGCTGGTCCTCTCGTCCCTCTCTAGTTCACAGTGAGCAGTCGGGTTGTGGTCTGCATGTCATTACATTGTTCTGGTCCAGTGCGAGTGTTTGGGCTCCATATTGATCATCCAAATGTTCTAAAACATTAAATACAGTAAACAGGAAGTGATTTTGGACGCAGTCTGTCCGTCCTGAGTGCGGTGACAGTTCAGCAGGCGGCCATGTTGTCTCAGCAAGCGGGTTTCTGCTGTCACAGCTGAACCAGCCATTTAGAGCTAACTTCAGGACATCATCCAACGATGGTTGAGGTCAAGGGCAGCTGGACTTGGTTGAAGATACTGGAAGACGTAACGACGTCTTCAAAGTCGTTAGAGCCACCCGAGGCCAAGTCTGAACGACCATAGTTGGCATCTTCACCGAAGGCCAAGAGGAAATGCTTGTTCAGTTTCCTGGGAAGTGACGGCTTCTCAACTCGTGTGTAAATGGCTTCCCTCACACCTCTTTCAAACCATCCATCTTCTCTGTCTAAAATGTGCACCTGGTGGTCCTCAAACGAGTGTCCTCTGTCCTTCAGATGTAAGTAGACTGCAGAGTCTTGACCTGAGGAGTTGGCCCTTCTGTGTTGAGCCATGCGTTTGTGTCGTGGTTGTTTAGTCTCCCCAATATACAGGTCTGTGCATTCCTCACTGCATTGGACCGCATACACTAGATTGCTTTTCTTGTGTTTGGGTGTGCGGTCTTTGGGGTGGACCAGCATCTCTATACTGGGGAGACTAAACAACCACTACACAAACACATGGCTCAACACAGAAGGGCCAACTCCTCAGGTCAAGACTCTGCAGTCTGAAGGACAGAGGACACTCGTATGAGGACCACCAGGTGCACATTTTAGACAGAGATGGTTCTCTGCACGTTGGAAGATGGATGGTTTGAAAGAGGTGTCAAGGAAGCATCTACACCCAGGTTGAGAAGCCATCTCTGAACAGGGGAGGGGGTCTACGCCACCACTTATCCCCCACTTACAATGCTGTCCTTTCATCACTTCCCAGGAAACTCAACAAGTATTTCCTCTTGGCCTCCGGTGAAGATACCAACGATGGTCGTTCAGTCTTGGCCTCGGGTGGCTCTAATGACCATGAAGACTGTCGTTACCACAGCCAGGAGCACTAACGAACCAGCGGTATTGACGATCCTAGCCAACGATCCCACTGACGTTAAATAGAGTTTCCCTACCAGTCAGTCAGAAATGAAAGTCTCTCGGATGAGGGATGAAACGTCTTCTAGCATCTTCAATAAAGTCCAGTTGCCCTGGACCTCAACCATCGTTGGATAACTATGACCTGGATGACTGAGAACCTTCACAGACATCTTCAGGACATCAACAAACAAAGGGCTTCCTCTGGGACTCACCTCTCTTCATCTCCTCTGTCGCCTCTCTCGGTTTGATCATTCGGGGGCTTTTGTGAACTTTGACCTCTGCAAAGGTTCATGGGAGAGAAAGGAGGCGGGCACAGAGACAGATTGGAGGTAAGGTGCCAATCAGACAGAGACACATCGTGGAGCGGGGCGTCAGGACCCAGCTCCAATCCTCTCTCAACGTCCAACAGCTACTAGCTAGCGAGCCTGTTTATGGCCATTCACCTGAGACACTCGCCTGAGAGATTCACCTGAGACACTCGCCTGAGAGATTCACCTGAGACACTCGCCTGAGAGATTCACCTGAGACACTCGCCTGAGAGATTCACCTGAGAGATTCACCTGAGAGATTCACCTGAGAGATTCGCCTGAGAGATTCACCTGAGACACTCGCCTGAGACACTCGCCTGAGAGATTCACCTGAGAGATTCACCTGAGAGATTCGCCTGAGAGATTTGCCTGAGAGATTCGCCTGAGAGATTCACCTGAGAGATTCGCCTGAGAGATTCACCTGAGACACTCGCCTGAGAGATTCACCTGAGACACTCGCCTGAGAGATTCACCTGAGACACTGGCCTGAGAGATTCACCTGAGAGATTCACCTGAGACACTCCCCTGAGAGATTCACCTGAGAGATTCACCTGAGAGATTCACCTGAGACACTCCCCTGAGAGATTCACCTGAGAGATTCACCTGAGAGATTCACCTGAGAGATTCACCTGAGACACTCCCCTGAGAGATTCACCTGAGAGATTCACCTGAGAGATTCACCTGAGAGATTCACATGAGACACTCCCCTGAGAGATTCACCTGAGAGATTCACCTGAGAGATTCACCTGAGACACTCCCCTGAGAGATTCACCTGAGACACTCCCCTGAGAGATTCACCTGAGAGATTCACATGAGACACTCGCCTGAGAGATTCACCTGAGAGATTCACCTGAGAGATTCACCTGAGAGATTCACATGAGACACTCGCCTGAGAGATTCACCTGAGAGATTCACCTGAGAGATTCACCTGAGAGATTCACCTGAGACACTCGCCTGAGAGATTCACCTGAGACACTCGCCTGAGAGATTCACATGAGAGATTCACCTGAGACACTCGCCTGAGAGATTCACCTGAGACACTGGCCTGAGAGATTCACCTGAGAGATTCACCTGAGAGATTCACCTGAGACACTCCCCTGAGAGATTCACCTGAGAGATTCACATGAGAGATTCACCTGAGACACTCGCCTGAGAGATTCACCTGAGACACTCGCCCGAGAGATTCACCTGAGACACTCGCCCGAGAGATTCACATGAGAGATTCACCTGAGAGATTCACCTGAGAGATTCACCTGAGACACTCGCCTGAGAGATTCAGCTGAGACACTCGCCTGAGAGATTCACCTGAGACACTCGCCCGAGACACTCGCCCGAGACACTCGCCCAAGAGATTCGCCCGAGAGATTCGCCTGAGACACTCGCCTGAGAGATTCACCTGAGACACTCGCCTGAGAGATTCACCTGAGAGATTCACCTGAGACACTCGCCCGAGAGATTCACCTGAGAGTTTCCCTACCAGTCAGTCAGAAATGAAAGTCTCTCGGATGAGGGACGAAACGTCTTCTAGCATCTTCAATAAAGTCCAGTTGCCCTGGACCTCAACCATCGTTGGATAACTATGACCTGGATGACTGAGAACCTTCACAGACATCTTCAGGACATCAACAAACAAAGGGCTTCCTCTGGGACTCACCTCTCTTCATCTCCTCTGTCGCCTCTCTCGGTTTGATCATTCGGGGGCTTTTGTGAACTTTGACCTCTGCAAAGGTTCATGGGAGAGAAAGGAGGCGGGCACAGAGACAGATTGGAGGTAAGGTGCCAATCAGACAGAGACACATCGTGGAGCGGGGCGTCAGGACCCAGCTCCAATCCTCTCTCAACGTCCAACAGCTACTAGCTAGCGAGCCTGTTTATGGCCATTCACCTGAGACACTCGCCTGAGAGATTCACCTGAGACACTCGCCTGAGAGATTCACCTGAGACACTCGCCTGAGAGATTCACCTGAGACACTCGCCTGAGAGATTCACCTGAGAGATTCACCTGAGAGATTCACCTGAGACACTCGCCTGAGAGATTCACCTGAGACACTCGCCTGAGAGATTCACCTGAGAGATTCACCTGAGAGATTCACCTGAGACACTCGCCTGAGAGATTCACCTGAGAGATTCACCTGAGACACTCGCCTGAGAGATTCACCTGAGACACTCGCCTGAGAGATTCACCTGAGAGATTCACCTGAGAGATTCACCTGAGACACTCGCCTGAGAGATTCACCTGAGAGATTCACCTGAGAGATTCACCTGAGACACTCGCCTGAGAGATTCACCTGAGACACTCGCCTGAGAGATTCACCTGAGACACTCGCCTGAGAGATTCACCTGAGAGATTCACCTGAGACACTCGCCTGAGAGATTCACATGAGACACTCGCCTGAGAGATTCACCTGAGACACTCGCCTGAGAGATTCACCTGAGAGATTCACCTGAGAGATTCACCTGAGACACTCGCCTGAGAGATTCGCCTGAGACACTCGCCTGAGAGATTCACCTGAGACACTGGCCTGAGAGATTCACCTGAGAGATTCACCTGAGAGATTCACATGAGACACTCGCCTGAGAGATTCACATGAGAGATTCACCTGAGAGATTCACCTGAGACACTCGCCTGAGACACTGGCCTGAGAGATTCACCTGAGAGATTCACCTGAGACACTCGCCTGAGAGATTCACCTGAGAGATTCACATGAGAGATTCACCTGAGAGATTCACCTGAGAGATTCACATGAGACACTCGCCTGAGAGATTAACCTGAGAGATTCACCTGAGACACTCGCCTGAGAGATTCACCTGAGACACTCGCCTGAGAGATTCACATGAGAGATTCACCTGAGACACTCGCCTGAGAGATTCACCTGAGACACTGGCCTGAGAGATTCACCTGAGAGATTCACCTGAGACACTCGCCTGAGAGATTCACCTGAGACACTCGCCTGAGAGATTCACCTGAGACACTCGCCTGAGAGATTCACCTGAGACACTCGCCTGAGAGATTCACCTGAGAGATTCACCTGAGAGATTCGCCTGAGAGATTCACCTGAGACACTCGCCTGAGAGATTCACCTGAGACACTCGCCTGAGAGATTCACCTGAGAGATTCACCTGAGACACTCGCCTGAGAGATTCACCTGAGACACTCGCCTGAGAGATTCACCTGAGAGATTCACCTGAGAGATTCACCTGAGAGATTCACCTGAGACACTCGCCTGAGAGATTCACCTGAGAGATTCACCTGAGAGATTCGCCTGAGAGATTCACCTGAGACACTCGCCTGAGAGATTCACCTGAGACACTCGCCTGAGAGATTCACCTGAGAGATTCACCTGAGACACTCGCCTGAGAGATTCACCTGAGACACTCGCCTGAGAGATTCACCTGAGAGATTCACCTGAGACACTCGCCTGAGAGATTCACCTGAGAGATTCACCTGAGAGATTCACCTGAGAGATTCGCCTGAGAGATTCACCTGAGACACTCGCCTGAGAGATTCACCTGAGACACTCGCCTGAGAGATTCACCTGAGAGATTCACCTGAGACACTCGCCTGAGAGATTCACCTGAGACACTCGCCTGAGAGATTCACCTGAGAGATTCACCTGAGAGATTCGCCTGAGACACTCGCCTGAGAGACTCACCTGAGAGATTCACCTGAGACACTCGCCTGAGAGATTCACCTGAGAGATTCGCCTGAGAGATTCACCTGAGACACTCGCCTGAGAGATTCACCTGAGAGATTCACCTGAGAGATTCACCTGAGACACTCGCCTGAGACACTCGCCTGAGAGATTCACATGAGAGATTCACCTGAGAGATTCACCTGAGACACTCCCCTGAGAGATTCCCCTGAGAGATTCACATGAATGATTCACCTGAGAGATTCACCTGAGACACTCGCCTGAGAGATTCACCTGAGATTCACCTGAGAGATTCACCTGAGAGATTCACCTGAGACACTGGCCTGAGAGATTCACCTGAGAGATTCACCTGAGACACTCCCCTGAGAGATTCACCTGAGATTCACCTGAGAGATTCACCTGAGAGATTCACCTGAGAGATTCACCTGAGACACTGGCCTGAGAGATTCACCTGAGAGATTCACCTGAGACACTCCCCTGAGAGATTCACCTGAGATTCACCTGAGAGATTCACATGAGAGATTCACCTGAGAGATTCACCTGATTCACTGATTTGTATTTGCTTAATGTGTCTGACCTTCAATTAAGCTCATCTAATTAAATATCACTAACATCACCTCTGGACTCGGCGCCTTGTGCTGAACATATTACACACTATATATATATATATATATATATATATATATATATATATATAGTGTTAGAACTTTTATGTGCGTCTAAAAACTGCTGTAAAAACTGATATCTGTAAATCGATTTATGTATTAATATAATCTGACTGCTGTAATCAGATTAATATTTTACAATTGTAATGTGAGTAATATGACCAAATGACTGTAATCTGATTACAATAATCTGATGACTGTAATTTGTCTGTTGCAAAGTGTAATCTAAACTCACCAGTCTGATGACTGTAGTCTGATTACACAACAGAGTTCAGCAGAGTCTCACCTTGAACTATCGAACCTGCAGCTGCAGCTCTGTCCTGCTGACGGCTGCTGTGACCTTTGACCTCTACAGCTGATCACAGAGACACGGTGAGAGGGAGACGAGAGAAACAACAAGACAGAAACAGACAGACAAAAAGAAATTTACCTGTAACTGATCCTGAAGACACCTGCAGGCACAGAGACAGAAGGAGGAAGTTCAACTTCAAGATAAAAGTCCAACAGGAAACAGAACCCCCTACAGGCTGCAAGTTCATTACGGCCACGATATGAACAGACGTCATGATGATTTAGTGTTTGCTACTAACTGTAACCTGATTACTGTAATCCTGAGCTTGGTTTACAATAACATTCAAAGATCTATGGCAGGGGTCTGTCCGATATAGGGCTTTAAGGGCGGGTTCACACCTAAAAGTCCGGGTCCGGAAATGGCGGCTGCAAACGCACTACTAGTTCACCCGTCAGCAAAACAGTAAACGTTTTTAACCAATGAAAGGACACACAGTAATACACTTCCTGTGATTGGTTCGAATGGTGGTAACACCAGAAATGAACCGCTCCAGAGTTCACTTGGTCTGAGACCACCTCTGTGAGGCGGACCAGGGAGCAGTTGTCCGGTCCGCACCAGAGTTCAAGTATGCCGTTCACACTGACCCAGCGCTGTGGCGTTCGGTTTAACCGGACTAAACGAGGTCAGTGGGAAGCCACCTTGAGCTGTTAGTTTTTATTTCATGTGTTCTAACCCGAGGAGGAGGAAGGACTTCAGTGTCCGTTATCTGACTAGATTATAGCGACTAGGGTAATCTGTCTACTGTAATCTGACTAGTTTATAGCGACTAGGGTAATCTGACTAGTTTATAGCGACTAGGTTAATCTGACTAATGTAATCTGACTAGTTTATAGCGACTAGGTTAATCTGACTAATGTAATCTGACTAGTTTATAGCAACTAGGGTAATCTGACTAGTTTATAGCGACTAGGGTAATCTGACTAGTTTATAGCGACTAGGGTAATCTGACTAGTTTATAGCGACTAGGGTAATCTGACTAATGTAATCTGACTAGTTTATAGCGACTAGAGTAATGTGATTATTGTAATCTTACCACTGTTATCTGACTAATGTAATCTGACTAGTTTATAGCGACTAGGGTAATCTGACTAATGTAATCTGACTAGTTTATAGCGACTAGGGTAATCTGACTAATGTAATCTGACTAGTTTATAGCGACTAGGGTAATCTGACTAATGTAATCTGACTAGTTTATAGTGACTAGGGTAATCTGACTAGTTTATAGCGACTAGGGTAATCTCACCTAGTAATCTGACTAGTTTATAGTGACTAGGGTAATCTGATTAGTTTATAGCGACTAGGGTAATCTCACTAATGTAATCTGTCTAGTTTATAGTGACTAGGGTAATCTGATTAGTTTATAGCGACTAGGGTAATCTGACTAATGTAATCTGACGTAATCTGACTAATGTAATCTGACTAGTTTATAGTGACTAGGGTAATCTGACTAGTTTATAGTGACTAGGGTAATCTGATTAGTTTATAGTGACTAGGGTAATCTGACTAATGTAATCTGACTAGTTTATAGTGACTAGGGTAATCTGACTAGTTTATAGTGACTAGGGTAATCCGACTAACGTAATCTGACTAGTTTATAGTGACTAGGGTAATCTGATTAGTTTATAGTGACTAGGGTAATGTGGCTGTAGTCTGAAAAATGTAATCTGCGTGTGTGTGTATGTGTGTGTGTGTGTGTGTGTTCTCACAGTAGTGTGTGTTATGGTCTGACAACCGGCTCCAGTTTCCAAACTGACCAGCTCCTGCTCCAACCTGCAACAAATATGCAACAAACGTTGATTTTAATCCTGCCTGGAGCTCAGGTTACAATGACTTGTCTGTCTGTGAACTGGCTTTCCTCCTGTAATTTAAATATAAATCTCACCAGACTAGATCAGACCTGTTGATGGTCTCCTCCAGGCTCCTGGTCTAACATCAGACTAGATTAGATCAGACTAGATCAGACCTGTTGATGGTCTCCCCCAGGCTCCTGGTTTTACATTAGACTACATTAGATCAGACTAGATCAGACCTGTTGATGGTCTCCCCCAGGCTCCTGGTCTTACATTAGACTAGATTAGATTAGACCTGTTGATGGTCTCCCCCAGGCTCCTGGTCTTACATTAGATTAGATCAGACTAGATCAGACCTGTTGATGGTCTCCTCCAGGCTCCTGGTCTTACATTAGACTAGATTAGATCAGACTAGATCAGACCTGCTGATGGTCTCTCCCAGGCTCCTGGTCTTACATTAGACTACATTAGATCAGACTAGATCAGACCTGTTGATGGTCTCCTCCAGGCTCCTAGTCTTGGCCTCGTCCTGCTCCAGCTGTCTCCTCACGTCGTCCTGTTCTGGTCCTGCAGCTCCCTCCAGCAGCCAGCGCTCCCTCAGAGCCTTCGACTTGAACACAGACAGGAAGTACAGTCACGCTGGTTCATTGGTATGAAAGAATAAAAGTATAAAAGTACTCTGTGATCTTCAAAAGTATTTTTGTTTTTCAGGTTGACAGTGTGCTTCCTAAACATCTGAATCTGAATGATGTTCTCTGACTCATAAGTAAAACTGGCTTGTTCACATCATAATGTTTAAAAGAATCCAAAAGTCATGAACAAGGAAGCTAAAATCAGGACAAACTCTTGTGTTTGTACAGCCTTTGACACCATCTCTCATAACATCCTCCTTGACAGATTAGTCACTATTGGTTTGGACCGGTTTAAATCATCTCTCTCTGGCCGCACTCACTTCATCCAACTCAAAACATTTCAAATCAGAGCTACCCCCCCTGTCACTACTGGTGTTCCCCAGGGCTCTGTCCTGGGGCCCCTTCTGTTCATCATCTATCTGCTTCCACTTGGCCATATCTTCCGTAAATTTAACATCCAGATCCACTGATATGCAGATGACATCCTGCTCTACCTGTCCACCAAACCTACCACATCTCTCCCACCCACCCCCTCTCTGATTGCCGGAACGGAAATCAAATCCTGGTTCTCTTGCAACTTCCTCAAACTTAACAGTGACAAAACCGAGGTCCTCCTCATTGGCACCAAATCCACTTTGACTAAATCTAAATCTGTTTTTCTCTTACCATTGACAACTCCACATTTTCCTCCTCCTCTCCGGTCAAGAGTCCGGGTGTGATCCTCGACACTTTCATTTCAAGCTCACATTAATAATGTCACTCGGTCTGCATGCTTCCATTTACGTAACATTAATCGCCTCCGTCTGTCTCTCTCACCCACTAGTACAGCCATTCTCATTCGCACACTGCTCACATCCCGCATTGATTATTGTAATTCTCTTCTCGTTGGTCTTCCTCTCAAATCCATACATAAACTTCAACTGGTTCAGAACTCTGCTGCCCGGATCATCACCAGAACCCCTTCTATTAATCATATCACTCCTGTCCTTCAACAGCTTTATTGGCTCCCAGTTAAATACCGCATTGATTTCAAGACTATGCTCCTAACCTTCAAGGCCATTCATAACCTCGCTCCTCGGTACCTCACTGACCTCCTTCATATTAACACCCCCACCCGTAGTCTTAGGTCTTCTTCTGTTCACCTCACTGTACCTCCTGCTCGTTTGACCACCATGGGGTTCAGAGCCTTCAGCCGCTCGGCCCCTCGTCTCTAGAACTCTCTTCCACCAGACCTCCGCAACATTGACTCGCTTTCACTTTTTTTTAAATCTCGCCTGAAAACACATCTTTTTAAACTGGCATCACTCTGTCATCACTCATTATGTACCCTGATTTTATGCACTGTAATTATAGTTAATTTTATTGATTTATTTATTATTTACTGTACTGTTCTATTATGTTTTGTGAGGTGACCTTGACTGTTCAGAAAGGTGCATATAAATAAAATGTATTATTATTAAATCACCACAAGTAAACACAAAATGCAATTTATAAATGAAGGCTTTTATTATCAAGGGGAAAAACTCCAAACCTACATGGCCCTGTGTGAAAAAGTGATTGACCCCTAAACCTAATAACTGGTTGGGCCCCTCTTCCAACCAGTGGTGGAAGAAGTACTCAATTTTCATACTTAAGTAAAAGTACAGTTACCACGTGAAAAATGTTACTCAAGTAAAAGTAAAAGTCATCCAGTGTAAACCTACTCGGATAAAAGTAAAAAGTACCTGGTTTTAAAAATACTTAAGTAATCAAAAGTAAAAGTGTTATGGCAGAAAATTGTGTCCTCTTGCATTTAATCTTATATGTATGATCTTTTACTTTTTACTTTTACTATTATATCCTTATTATATCCTTAACCTTTCCTCTCCTATACTTCTTATGTTAGTCTGTCCACATTTCCTAGGGTTTAGGTCAGAGCTGTGAGATTGTTTTTGGTGCTTTCCCTCTCTTGTTGTTCCTCTCCTCTCCTGGAATGTTCATTCAAGGCCGAGAGAGGATCTCTGTTCCCCAAAACACAGAAACCTAGACTGTGTAAATGATGATGCATCCCTTTGCTTGGGGCCAGATGTTAGTGACTGTCTTAGGAGACAGAACCTCTGGTCCAGCTGATTTGTGTTGTAGTACTTTTCTGTTTATTCTCTTTTGTTAAATAAATTCTTCAAAGGCAACAGTTTGTTGTAACTGAATTATTTGCTCAGCCCCTCACCAGGAATATAATTTCCACGACAAAAAGTACTACACATCAAAATCTATTAATCTTACAAAACGCAATCTATCTATTTAAAATGACTCAAGGCAGGTTTGAATACAGCATCATAAGTTATAGTGAGTCACAGTAAGGAAAACTGAGTCGCAGTGGATATTTCCTATACTGTGGGGGGATAAGTCTACATTATTGCCCTGCTGGTGTGGTAGTATCTCCTTCAGACCGTCTGACAGACAAAGAACCACGTTTGGGACATTGGGTATATTAAGATGAGACAAGGAGGCGGAAACCAAAACTAACTGAAACACTTCTCAGTTCACAATCTCACCAAAAAGCCACACATGTTGACTTCAGCACCTCTCATAAAGTGCAGCTCACAGTCCCACACAGACCTGGCTGGTTTCTATGGCAAAACTCTACCAGCTACATTACCACTCGGTCACAGACTGGCTGCGACTCAAGGCTCGTGCAGACTACACGACTTTCAGCGTCGGCCGATGACCGTGCTGTTCACACTACACAGCTCGCCGTCTTGTGAAGTGTCTTGAAGTCGTTGTGGCGTTCACATTACGTGACTTTTCGGTGACAGTCGAACTACACGAGCTGACAGCGGATCTGTGACCCGATGCTGGTCTCCAAACCACGTTTAGTCAGGAAAACACACGTGAAATGTTAAATGGGAAATGGGGCAATCCTGCACAGGAAACAGCTGTTGTTTGTTATTATAAAGATGGTTCAGCACAGCAGGGATCGTCTGAGCTACAGAGAGCTGGAGGGGAGTAAAAAGGGTTTTGCAGTGAAAAAGTAGCTGCCTGCTCTCATTGGCTGGATGTCAAGTCAGCCAACTCCTCCAGATATTTGGCGTGCTAGATATCTGCCAGACGTCTGCGATGTGTCAGAAATGTGTCGGGGAGCTTTTTGATGCGTCATTGATTAGTTCACACATAACGACTGGTGACCGCCGATCGACCGCTGATTTACTCACGATCACAGCCTGACGGTCGTCAAGCGGCACATCGGGCTATAAACCGTGCAGTGTGAACTCGGCTTCATAGAGCAAATACAGAGCTGCCGCACAGTCACACCTGACACCACAATGCTCTCACTGCAATCCTCCCTCTGTGAGAAGCCTGAATAGAAACCTCTACTAGACAAATCCAGTGCTGGTTTGAACAGACCTCTGCACACTAACTTGGCCCTCATGAAGTCTGATAAGATTCGGGGCCAGTCTGCTGGGTCATTTGGTGGAGCAACTGTTTCATTAGGGTCTGAGCTGCTGGCTGTACATCTCTGGCTGTGCTCGTACTGGCTGAGGCTGGACGTGTTTCACCTGGGTCTATGTGACGTGCTAAAGACATCTGGGGTCTCATTTCTAAACGGTGCGTACGTTCAAAACAGGGCTGGAAACGTGCAGACGCCACTTCCCACGCAAAGGTTGTGATCCAATGTGCGTCCTGTAAGTAAAGGAGGAGAAAAGAGAAAAGGCGCCGCACACGGCAGAAGGATGTAACGCTTTGAAATGAAGAGGTGGAAAATAAATCCAAATATTCCCTCTGAGTATTCCAGGCTTAAAGCCTTTCTGAATAAATAGTGGCACAAAAAAAAAATAATAATAATTTAAGATCATTTGCAGCCACAAAGATCCAGATTCAGGATCAGAAACACAAACGGAGAAAGAACGCCTCAGATATGTTGCACAGTTTAATCAGGAATCAGATTAATTAATACCTGCATGCAGCAATTTATTCTCCTGAATAAGGTGAACAGGAGACAAATTACATTTAAACTGATGCTGTTTTCAGAGCGTCAGTCGAGCCAATAGGAGAGCAGAGTTTCATATACTGTTATCAGATGTTCGTGGAGCCAAACGCTGAGCGCCGGCGTGTGGATGTGATGCTGCTTGTAAAAACACGTTATGGAAATAAAACACTATTTTATGTCATTACAACACGTCCTATTTCTTTAACTCGTCAGCAGCCTCGTTCAGCGAGCCGACTGTTTGTGGAAATAAATGTTTAAACACAGAGGAAGTCATGTGTTTTCCTCTCTTTTCAAACGGGGGAATCCAAAACCAAGAATGCAAAGAACGGGCTTGTGTTCTTGGGGAGAACATTCTTGCTAGCTGGGATATCTCTGCCGTCAAGTTCACACAAGTTACCAACCGATGGGCCATGATGTCAGTTTGGATTTTTTCCCCTTCTTCCCCTTCCCCTAAAACCCTTCATTTAAAAACTGCATTTTGTGTCATCTTTGTCTAATATTACAATTTGTCTGATGATCTGAAACATTTCAGTGTGACAAACATGCAGAAAAATAAGAAATCAGGAAGGGGGCAAACACTTTTTCACACACATATATACATATACATAAATATATATACACATATACATGACTATATATTATCTGTGTTCATCTTTACTTTGGCTCAGTTTGGTCCCCTTTTGTGGATTTTGCAGAATCAGGTTCAGATCAGATGATATCTGAAGCAGACGTGTTTCTGAGAGTGGATGTGTCATGTGATCAGTCTGCATTAAAAATACTCAGTTATTTCAAAGCCGCGGCTGCGAGTTTTGGGGTGAAAGCAGTTGCAGCGTTTCTGTCTGATCCGAGATCAGCTGCAGATATTTTTACTCTGCAGCTGTTCGCAGACTCAAAGCTTTGGGCCGCCACACCTCTGGATCTACGCTGTAAGATAAATCCCTCTCAATACAAGGCCAGCTGGCCCTCAAGGGCCACAGGGGCTCCTGGCTTACTGTGTGTGGTCATTAGCTGGTTTATATTGTTGTGAATGTTTTAGCGTATATTTCTCAGACTTTTTTATTGCTTTCATTCAGTGTTACTGTTGCTGTTGGTAGTTTGAGCTAAATTCTAATAAGAGTGACGCGATCAGCAGCGGCTATATCTGACCCCGTGTCAAAATTTTGTTTTAAGACCTTTATTATGCTTACATATGCTTTTAGATATGCACGGGCCAGGACCGGAGCGCTCTGCAGCGGTGTAGTCAAACAGAAGATCGTTGGTACCCATCTCCAGAGTGATGTCGGTGAGGTGCCTGCAGAGCCCAAAGGATACTGAAGGACAGAACCCACCTAGCCACAGCCTGTTCACCCTGCTGCATGCTGGGAAGAGATGTAGAAGTTTCTGCTGCCGCACCACCAGACTGCAGAGCAGCTTTTCCCCCCAAGCCGTCAGACTCTTAAACTCTAATTCATCCTCAGCTCTGCTCCACTCATCGTAGTTTATTTAATTTTTAAACTGAGTTTATTTTGATGTGGACTAAATGTTGCAGTATAGTTACAAACTATATTTCACTCAAACAAACAAATAAACCTTCCTTGTACCTTGTAAGAACAGACTACAATGTGTTATTTAATGTATTAGTTATCTTATCGTTAGCTTTTATTGTCGATAGGACAGCCGAGCCCAGGCCGCTGGCTTCAGGACTGGCAAGCGTTCTGGACTTCGTGAGGTAACCGACGCCTATAGTCGACTGATATTCGAATCACGTGTGTATTTGTGTGGCGGTGACTGTGAGTGGGGGGCGTTACTCACGGTGAATCCGCTTTAATCTGGAGCAGCTACAGAGCCGCAGTCTCTGTTCGTTTCTCACTGTAACTTACACTGCACATTTCTTGTGCAGAGTTTAGCGTGCATGCCGTGAGGCCGACATCTGCACGCACGTTGCAGTTCCCCGCGGGTCTATTTCAAGTAACTTATTAAAAGCAACATAATATTCTTTGTGTGGTTCATCAATGGTGAAAAATGATCTGCACGTCCCGTGTTCGGTGCAGACAACTCAACAACAGTGCTGCTGAGGCTCGGTCTCCTCAGCAAGTGTTCCTCTGCTGCCACTACACCCACACATTTGCATTGGCGCCCCTTCCTTAAGGGTTAGGGTTACAATTTAGGATTCATTCACGCACTTTCAAACATTTATTAAAAACTTTTTTCTTTTCACATGTTTATTTACAGCATTATATGTTGGAATTTATATTGTAACAGGCAGCATATCAACTTAATGGGAGAAAACTGGTAGTACTATGTAAAATCAGACGGCGAGCACCCCCATATCACCAAAAGGGTATAATCCTCGTTTCGCTGCAAAGACTTATAGTTTAATTAGGCTCCACCCATTGACTCTTCGACTATTTGGGGTCAGCCCTGAAGGCAACGTTACCCAGCGGATAGTCAGCAGGGATGTGAACCATCAACCTGCCGTCTTACCTTCAGGTGCTGCAGAGCTCTCCGGTCGTCCTCCAGCTGACGCTTCTTGTTCTCGATCTCGGTCTGCCACTTCCTCTTCTCCTAGGGCATGATGGGAAACAGAATCAGACACACAAAGCTAAAGCTTCTAGCATGTGGAGACTGAGAGCTCTCATCACGGACACGCCAACCACTTTCAGATCTTATACTGCAAATTAACTTTTACTCTTCAGTAAATGCTGTTCCATAGCATTCACAAATATTTCACCACCGCTGGTCTGCTGGTTGAACATTGATCAAACTAATTTCTGTGGTTTGACCGTGTCTTTTTCACACGTAAGTTTATCGTTACCTTCAGGGAATGTCTATCAAGTCAATTTACATACCACAGACACCGGTGCAGAGCAGAATGGGCTTCCTTTAACAACTAACAGCTGCAATGCTGTAAACTAAAATTCAGAAAGCAATATGAAGAGCAGCTGCAGGCATCCGACACACTACGCTCGTTAGTTAGTGAGCTTCAAATGAGGCTTATCGTTCAGTTTCTCTCAACATCGCAGAGGCTGCTAGCCACATTAGCCACACAATATGCGAACGCTAAGTTAGCTAACCTTCAAAATTAACAGTACAACCTAAAACACGGAAACACTTTACACATACCAACTGACGACGCTCCAGCCGCTTTCAGCCTTTACACATACCAACTGACGACGCTCCAGCCGCTTTCAGCCTTTACACATACCAACTGACGACGCTCCAGCCGCTTTCAGCCTTTACACATACCAACTGACGACGCTCCAGCCGCTTTCAGCCTTTACACATACCAACTGGCGACGCTCCAGCCGCTTTCAGCCTTTACACATACCAACTGACGACGCTCCAGCCGCTTTCAGCCTTTACACATACCAACTGACGACGCTCCAGCAGCTTTCAGCCTTTACACATACCAACTGACGACGCTCCAGCAGCTTTCAGCCTTTACACATACCAACTGGCGACGCTCCAGCCGCTTTCAGCCTTTACACATACCAACTGACGACGCTCCAGCAGCTTTCAGCCTTTACACATACCAACTGACGACGCTCCAGCCGCTTTCAGCCTTTACACATACCAACTGGCGACGCTCCAGCAGCTTTCAGCCTTTACACATACCAACTGACGACGCTCCAGCAGCTTTCAGCCTTTACACATACCAACTGACGACGCTCCAGCAGCTTTCAGCCTTTACACATACCAACTGACGACGCTCCAGCAGCTTTCAGCCTTTACACATACCAACTGACGACGCTCCAGCCGCTTTCACCCTTTACACATACCAACTGACGACGCTCCAGCCGCTTTCAGCCTTTACACATACCAACTGACGACGCTCCAGCCGCTTTCAGCCTTTACACATACCAACTGGCGACGCTCCAGCCGCTTTCAGCCTTTACACATACCAACTGGCGACGCTCCAGCCGCTTTCAGCCTTTACACATACCAACTGGCGACGCTCCAGCCGCTTTCAGCCTTTACACATACCAACTGGCGACGCTCCAGCCGCTTTCAGCCTTTACACATACCAACTGACGACGCTCCAGCAGCTTTCAGCCTTTACACATACCAACTGACGACGCTCCAGCCGCTTTCAGCCTTTACACATACCAACTGACGACGCTCCAGCCGCTTTCAGCCTTTACACATACCAACTGACGACGCTCCAGCCGCTTTCAGCCTTTACACATACCAACTGACGACGCTCCAGCAGCTTTCAGCCTTTACACATACCAACTGACGACGCTCCAGCCGCTTTCAGCCTTTACACATACCAACTGGCGACGCTCCAGCCGCTTTCAGCCTTTACACATACCAACTGGCGACGCTCCAGCCGCTTTCAGCCTTTACACATACCAACTGACGACGCTCCAGCCGCTTTCAGCCTTTACACATACCAACTGGCGATGCTCCAGCAGCTTTCAGCCTTTACACATACCAACTGGCGACGCTCCAGCCGCTTTCAGCCTTTACACATACCAACTGACGACGCTCCAGCAGCTTTCAGCCTTTACACATACCAACTGACGACGCTCCAGCCGTTACAATGTGCTGCTTTAGGCTCTTACACTTCAAACCCTTACACTGCTCTGACCACATCTCACATGCAAACTATCAATGTGTTAATGCTTTTCAACCGGTTGACACCTGCAAAGGAAACACACAGTACACAGTATTATCGCGGATGTACACACAGTAATACTACTTATAGTACTGCAGTTACTGCTGAGGCCTGAGACAGCAGGATGATCGAGTTACACAGGTGTGTGTGTGGATCAATAAGTGCATTAGTGAAAGAGCTTTGAAACAGACCTCAGATCAGCTGACAGTGGGGAAATATCTGCTGCTGTTGGAGGTTTATATCACATGTAAAAATACGCACATGTTCATAGTGTGTGTATTTGTATATTTATACAGCGTGTGTATTTATACAGGTCTGTGTTGAGGTGGTGCGTTCACTGACAGTATGTAAACTGGACTCACTGCGAGGAGCTGCAGTCGGTCCTGCTGACAGTCGCCGTCATTCACCCTGAGGACAGACAGACACATCAGAGTTCACCATGTTTCAGCCGTTACATCAGTCCGTCCAATCACAGGCCGCCTCACCCAGGAGGTTGTGGTTGTGGGTGGAGCCACAGTCTGATGATCAATAACCCATTTATATTTGAATGTGAACGGGAAGTTCCTGGATCCGGTTTCAGACTGAGGAAATGAAGCGGCTCTAAATAAAATATGAAGGAAATGAAGCGGCTCTGATGTTCAAGTGTGAATCTGGACCCAACGTTAGCTGGGAGTCCAAACCTGTACACGGTTGGTGGCTCTGAACTCTGTTGGGTCTGGATGTTTGAGTCTCAGGACTGCAGTTTATCTGCAGCCAGTCAGGCTGCAGATAAACATGAGTGTTAGCCGGTAGCTGTTAGCTCGCTGCCACTGAAGCTCCCTGGTTGTGTTGATTGATTAGTTCAGAGTCCTGGAGGTGGATCACCTGTTCAGGTAAACCGTGTGCTGTTCTGTGGAAAAAAACTTTTATGTGAACACATAATGAGTCCCACGTGGACTCCAGGACCGATGAGGGTCAGGGTCCCTGCTGAGTCCCACGTGGACTCCAGGACTGATGAGGGTCAGGGTTCTGCTGTGAAACAGTTAAACTGGGACTAGCCGATTCGCTGAGCTCAGCACAGTTTTGTTTCAGTGGATCTGAACTCAAAGGATCCTGAACAAAGCTGCTGTCCGGCTCCATGGAGACTCCACAACAGACACTCTGAGGGGTCAGATCCAGTTCAGTCCAGTTACTGAAGTGTGCTTCAGATCTGAGCAGCTGATTCTGATCGATCAGTTATTGACCAGAGAACGCTGGTGGATTTTAAGGACAGAGGCATGATGGGTAATGAGACAGCAGGTCTGAGTGGTCAGTTTGAAAATGTGAGTCAGCAGTTTGTCTGCAGTCCTGGTCCTGTCATGGACCCGCCCCTGACCTCTGACTCTGAAGTCTTGGTCCCATCACAGACCCGCCCCTGACCTCTGACTCTGAAGTCCTTGTCCTGTCACGGACCCGCCCCTGACCTCTGAGGTCCTGGTACCATCACGGACCCACCCCTGACCCGCCCCGACCTCTGACTCTGAAGTCCTTGTCCTGTCACGGACCCGCCCCTGACCTCTGAGGTCCTGGTACCATCACGGACCCGCCCCTGACCTCTGACTCTGAAGTCCTTGTCCTGTCACGGACCCGCCCCTGACATCTGAGGTCCTGGCACCATCACGGACCCACCCCTGACCCGCCCCGACCTCTGACTCTGAAGTCCTTGTCCTGTCACGGACCCGCCCCTGACCTCTGAGGTCCTGGTACCATCACGGACCCGCCCCTGACCTCTGACTCTGAAGTCCTTGTCCTGTCACGGACCCGCCCCTGACATCTGAGGTCCTGGCACCATCACGGACCCACCCCTGACCCGCCCCGACCTCTGACTCTGAAGTCCTTGTCCTGTCACGGACCCGCCCCTGACCTCTGAGGTCCTGGTACCATCACGGACCCGCACCTGACCTCTGACTCTGAAGTCCTTGTCCTGTTACGGACCCGCCCCTGACCTCTGAGGTCCTGGTACCATCACGGACCCACCCCTGACCTCTGAGGTCCTGGTACCATCCCGGACCCACCCCTGACCTCTGATTCTGCGGTCCTGGTCCCGTCATGGACCCGCCCCTGACCTCTGATTCTGCGGTCCTGGTCCCGTCACGGACACGCCCCTAAGGCTCCATCCCCACTGCAGCACCGCACACAGGAAGTGAACTGAACTCACTTTCAAAATAAAAAGATGGCACTTTTGAGGGAAGTGCTGTGTCAAACATTTTACACACAGAGACCAGAACAGAGCTCACAGA